CGGTTCAATCCCCCAGCACCACATGCCGGCCGGCCCCGCCCCCTGGTGGGCTGAGCTGGCCACACACACACACCACACTCTCTCTCTCTCTCTCTCTCTCTCTCTCTCTCTCTCTCTCCCTCTCAAATAAATAAAAATAAAAAAATAAAAAAACGAGTGAAGAAGGAAGGAGTCAGGGAGGAGATGCCCACCCTGCCAAGAGGAGGCGGGTGGGCTGGGAGGCAGGAGAGAGAACTGATTTTCAAGGAGACAGAAATGATGCGAAGCGACTGCGCGACACTGTATTTCGCTCGCTTTGCGTCACAGCCCTCACACGTGTGCTTGAGTAAACTAAACTTTAGAACACACGCTAGGAACTTCGGGAAGCTGGATGAATGTGAAGAGGGGCACGAAGGGACAGGTGGAACGCAGTAAGCAATAAATACAGGTATGGGGGTATTCGGGGCTCCGGGAAAGCTGAGGGCTCCGCTAACGTCAGAGCTCAGGGAGGCCCCACCTGCGCTCACCTACCTGCCCACGGAGAACAGGCACATGAGGAAGATGGCGCTGACAAAGGCGTCGGGGTCAAAATCACCCCCCAGGATGTCAATGACGCGGCCAGAATAGTGAGGGATCAGCGTCTCCCCTGAAAGACCGGGCAGGACGCTCACCCGAGCCCGCGCGGCCGCCAGCGCCTCTCCCGCCGCCGCCCGGCTGCGCCCCGCACTTACCCCACACGGCGGCCGCCAGGAAGAAGAAGGCGCCCAGCAGCCAGGGCAGGTCGGGCCTGGAGAGCTGCAGCAGGCGCCACATCAGGGCTCGGTTCTTCTCCCGGCCCGGCTCCCCCGCCGGGGCGCCGGGGGGGCTCAGCACAGCCCACAGGGCCCCGCCCAGCGCCGCAGCCGCGTGGCCCGCCAGCAGCCAGCTCCAAGAGGCCGAGGCCACCCTGACTGGGGGGGCACTCAAGGTCCCTCCGGCCAGCGCTCGCAGGGAGAGAAACAGGGGCGTCGCCAGGCAGAGCGGGGCCAACCGGGCGCCCCCGGGCCGCAGCAGCGCCCCCAGCTTTAGCAGCCCCCACAGCACTCCGAGTCGCAGAGCCCCCTCCAGCCACAGTCCTAGCAGCCCTCGGGGAAGCAGCGCCCCAAGACTCCCCTGAAGCAGCCCGAGGAAGGCCAGATCCAGCAGCAGCAGCGAGGCCCAGGGCCTCGGGTCGGGGAGCGGCATGGCACCGGGATCTGCGGGTAGAAAGAGAGAAACGAGGTCTCCCCCTCTGCCCTCCACACCGACAGCCGGGGTCCCCGGGGAGCCAGGCGCACCCGGCCCGCTGCCTCCACTTCCCGGGCCCAAAGGGACAAGAAGTGTGGGGTGCGGGGAGGCTGCGCCCGGCGTACGCTCACGAGCTCACCCGCCGCGGGACTGCTGGCAGGGCTTCCCGTGCCCAGCGGCGCAGGGAGCCCGAGGCTCGCTACCTGGGCTCTCACCAGACTTTCCCGGAGAGGGCGTTCCCGGCCTTGCCGGTTTCGCTTTCGCTTTCGGAGCCTCGAGCTGCGGCCAAAGGGGGCGCCCGAGACCTTCGGACCGCAAACCTTCAGCCGCAGACCCGCAGCCCGCGCCCTGGGTCCCCAAAGAGCCTCGCTCTCGCCCTCCTGCCTGTCATTCTGTAATAGGACACAGTAAAATGGTTCATGGAGCGGGATGCTTGTAACTAGGGACCACTGGATTCTCTCAGTCGCTACCTGTTTTTATTAGCGCCCTTTTCGCCCAGACGACATTTAGTTTTAAGGTCCGAGAGTCAAGGTGCCAAACCTTGGGTGAGAAGCGCACGGGATCCGGACGCCCGGCCCCTGATCCACGTGTCCTGAGTGGGGCCCACGGAGCAGGGCCTCTGGGTACGCTGGGAATCCCCTTGGCACCTGAGGGAGACGCCCAGTACTGGTCCAGTTTAACGCTGGAGCAACAGCAGGCAGGTTCAGATCACACCGGAGGGAAAGCCTACCCTGGGGATTTGCAGTTATTTTAGAAATGACTTCCAGCTAACATTACCTCCCACACGTAAACAAATAAATATCCCACAGGGCTCATTGCTTGGATTTCACATCGCCCTTTTGAAGCACGATAGGTGTGGTTCCCAATGTAATGTGAAACAGTGGAGGGGCGGGTCCACTGAAGAAGAGGATCTGTGGATCACTAAAATGTGTCCCACCCCATCCTTTGGGGATAGTAAGGATCTCTCCCTCATGGAAAAAGCTCCACATTCAGCTCCTTCCAACTTTCAAATGTCACCTGAGAGGTGACAGTGACCATATTCCTTTCTGTACCCACTTCATGAGAATTTCATTGTCTCTCTTTTTTTTCTAACATAGATCTTTTACTTTTTCCTCTCTCTCTCTCCACTTCTGTCTGGTCTGGGTCCTTTCCTCTTCAAACAGGATTTAACCTTAACATTCATCTTCACATTCAATATCCCATATGTCCAAGGAGTCGTTTGGGGAAAACAGTACAGTGTTTACAATAACCACTCACAAGTGAGATGAAAACTTTTCCATCCCATCGTACAAAGTCAAAAAGTAGTTGGTGGTGGTGTCCAGCTCCCAGCCATGCACACTAGGAGCCAACCAGAGTGCCCAGATCATGTCTCTGTTGCAGTGATGGCCAGGATGGGTCCTCCTCATGTTCCAGAGAGGTGAGTATAGAAGAAATGCGCAGGAATAAATATTTGGTGAGGCCAGTTGTTTTTTTGGCTTGGCTTAGTTTGCTTTGATTTGGTTTCTTGAGATGGGATCTCACTATATAGGCCTGGCTGGTCTGGAACTCATGACCCACGTGTGTTTTTGACTCCCAAGTACTAGGATTACAGGACTGGGATGGGGAAGTAGGGCCTCATTTCTTATGTAGAAGTCTGAGTCATCCCTGAAAAAAAGCCTCACAGCCCCCAAACCCATTTAGTCATACCACGAACATTTATAACCGTTTTCCTTTATTGGCTTTCAGGGGGACCAGAAGGCTCCCAGGGGCGACACTCACAGAAAGGAGAGCACAGAAATGGATGGACATGGCCCGTCATCACCTCTACTGGGCCATTCTCCATCTTGGCTGAGGCGGAAGGTGGTCCAGGTCCTGAGCCCGGCAGCTCTCCCACCAGAAAAGGCCTGCACAGCCAACACCGCTGCTGCTACTGGCTGGCCTCCCGGTACTGGTAGAGCATGTCGCTAACATCTTTGCTTTCCACTTTCACCCAGCCGTCTTCCTTCATGTGGTACACTGCGGGCAAATGAGAAAATGACACCAATACCAGCGACCCGGCTTATTTTGAAGGCAGCAGCAATGCACACAAACACAGGCACACACTCCAGTCCCTCTCTACTGGGGTTTCTGGGCCATTCTTCTGACTCTAAAGACCTCCTCCCTGCTGCTCAGCCTCCCAAGTCTCCCTCTGAAATCGGCCTCTCCTCTTCCCAGGCATGATGGGCTCATTGGTGTCTTACTATTGACAACGCCTCCAGAATAGCTGTCTCTGTGAGTGGCCTGAACAATGGCCCTGCGGCCAAGGTCATAGGCTTCTTCAGGGCTAAGGTCAGGCCGATAGCCACTGTCCAGGACCCCATAGGCATAGCTGTTCCCACTGCCGGTGGAGAACATGTCTCCTGAGAGCCGGATGCCATTTTCATTCACATAGTACAGTCCTGGGCCCTATAAGATCAAAGAAGTTCCAACTGAATTTGGAGAGAGATTTATTGGTAACATAAGAGGTTCAGGGACTGGCAAGATAGCTCAGTGGACTTAGGCAAGCTTAGGCAAGCTCGGGAACTGTGGTTTGATCCCCAGCACCACAGGGCAGGCCGAGCCAGCCACAGGGTCTAGGCACTGTGGGACATGGCTATAAATGCAATACCAGGGAGGCTGAAAGCAGGAGAATCACCACGAGTCTGAGCTGCAGAGTGAGACCTTGAAACAACCAAATACATTTAAAAAAGAGGTTCATTAGAGGCATGGGTCATTAGAAGTGAACAAAAGAATGAAAACTACCAGGGGAACATTTGAATTGGGACAGCATTTTGGGAAGATTTAGAACTTTAGAAATAAAAGGAGAAACCAAATGGATTCAGCTATTTAAACAAAAGGGTTGGCTTATCAATGACTCGCAATGGTACCTAAGTGGGCCAGGAAACACACAACAGACACACTGGAAAAGTTAAAGAAACAAGTGCTCGCTCAGCCCGATATCATGTAGGGGTGGGTGTGGTGGATCCAGTGAGGATGAAGATCTTTCATCCCTGGTTGGGGAACTTGAGAAAAGAGAGCACCCACCTTCTTGTCCCAGCCACAGATCATGCTGCCCATGGAGAGGCCCATGCCCCGGTACTGGGACACCATGTTTGTGAGCAGCTTAGAGGCGGCCGACACAGAGATCCGCTCCCCATTCCGCAGGTAGTACAGCCTGGGTGATGACAGGGTGGAGCAAGCCTTAGAGGTGCTGGAGAAGGATAACTCTCAGGTGGTAGGGCAGGGAAGGACTGGAGAGATAAGCATTTGAAGGAATTGTTTTGTCAACTATAAGGAGTTGGGAAAGATTTAGCACTGGAACTATCTAAAACACACAGAGAAAGCCTAGTAAATGGGGCAGTCCCACCAGCACCGATGGCATCCATGCTAAATACTAATAAGTATCTGGTTTGAGAGCAGGAACACAGACTGAGATACAAAGACTTGGAAGACCCAGGAATCAACCAGAAGGCGGAGAAAGGGACACAGAGGCATCACCCACCTACACTCCTTGGCCAACAGCCGCTCCCAGTACTGACAGTCAGCTGCAGAGCCAGACATGGTGCCCAGCAGGTAAGGGTTAATCTCGATCACCTTGTTGGTTCGTGTGCTGGCTGGAAGAAGAGTTTTGAGACAAGAGGAATGACCCCACAGCTCTCCCTGTGTGCCCTAAGTCAACATCTTGGGCTTTGGTGCAGACAATGATATCCTACTGGAAGGAGGCCCAGGGCCCCATACTCTGCCTGCTGGACCCCACATACTCACCAATGTAGGTCCCTGCTGTGGCCCGGGAATCCACAGCCACAATCACTCCGTGCTGGAACTTGAAGGCCAGCGTGGTGGTGCCGTGCGCCATCTCTATCTGAACATTCCTCTCTTGGTCCCCACCAAAGGACTGTAAGAACTCAGTGGGCTAAGGAGAGAGAAGAGGCAGAGCAAGAGGCTGTGACACCGGGAAGCAGGATCGCCTTCAGAGAAGGGTTTCAGAAAGCTTGCAGGCAAGATGTGTAGAAGTCCTCTAGCCACCCATGAACAAAAAAGCTCACAGCCAATTCTAGGAAGAAATGTGCTCTGAAAAGGAAAGGAAGAGGCGCATGGCACTGGCGACCCCCCTTCTGTGCAGCACGAACAAAGCAAACAAAGTGTTCTAATTGGCTGTACCGTTTTTTTCATTCATAATCATCCAACCCTCACAAAACACAGTTTACTAATTCACCTGTACTTCTTTTACCAAAGAGGGGCTGCAGGCCAATGCTACCTGACCTCTGGGTCACAGCAGCGAATTGCTAGAGGCAAGGTAGCTGCCATCAAAGTACAGAAGTCTCCCCAAACCCAGCACAGCCCCTACCATGAGCCCAGAAAAAAGGGATTCTGATTTGTATGTGGTGGAGAAAAGGTGCTGGTATTTATTAGTGACGCCCCCACCGGCTCCCCTGAGATTACCCGTGTAGGTGATACAAGGGACACCCCTGCCCCGACTCACTGCTTTCCTTCATCCGAACTTTCCTAACCCTTCAAGCCACATGTCCCCCCACCCCCGACCCGTGCCGGACCTGCGCTGCTGTCCCAGCCTCGGGCAGGACAGGCTCAAAGCAACCCCCCTGGGACTGGGGAGATGGCTCAGTGGAACAAGCGCTTGCCTGGCAAGCGCAAGGGCCTGAGTTCAATCCCCGGTTCCGAAAAAAAAAAAGCAGACCCCCTATCTCCTCAGACCCCTCTGCCCTCACCTGCATGCCCCTGGGGACGGCGAGCTCTGGAGCACGCGCCGAGAAACCGTAGTGTCCAGGGTCCGAGCCCCGCGCGCTCCCCGCTGCCGCAGCGGCCGCCGGAGCAGCCCAGGCCCGCGGGGCTCCGCACACCTCGAGCAGCGCCATGATCACGTCGCACCCCGATCGCCACCCTCGCAGGAGGAAGTGAAAGCGAAAGCCCCGGCGCCGAGAGGAGGGAACCAGAAATTGTTCCACATCCCCCTGCCCTTCCTGAGAAGAGGCCAGAGGGAGTAACTTGCCCCAGAGGCCGCCCGCTCTGCCTTCTCGGAGGTCTGGGACTGGGCTGTCTGGAGGTCAGGGAAGGGGCCCTGCCCCGCCAGGCCCAGGCACGGCATCCCCCAGAGAGCGGGGAGGGGCGCCCTGCGACACCCCCCACCCCAGTGTGTTTAACCAGAAGCGGGCGTCCTCGAGGGAGACGGGGTAGTGGTGGGTGCTGTGGACCCGGGCAGTCCTCGCATTGGTTCTCTTTTTGTAAGACTGGGGACAGGTGAGAACGGTGAGATTCTGCATCCTCAAGACAGTTCCTGGGACGACTGGAACGCTGTGCGACCCAGCCTGGGACGAGGGGGCGGGCGCAGAAGAGGGTGGAACCTCTGAATTCCCTCACTTGTTTTTTCATGGGGACTCTTATGGCTCAACCGGCTCCCCAAACTGAGGCCACCTACAAGACTGCGCCCATGAGGCAGGGGAGATGGCTCAGTGGAATAAGCGCTTCCCTGGCAAGTGCAAGGGTCTGAGTTCAATCCCTGGTTCCGCCAAAAAAAAAAAAAAAAAAAAAAAAAAAAAGCACCCTTTCTGCCCGCCCCTCCTCCTCGCCGGGTGCCCGGCTTCCGAGAGCGCTGCAGAATTGAAATCTGTAAACCCCGCCTCTCTCTGCAACCTGTAGCGTCCTGCTCTGCCCAGCAACTGTCAACGTCACCCTGCCCTGGCCCTGCGTGAGTGGAAGAGATGTAGAGCCTCGCCCACTTCCCTAGGAGCCGGGATCCGAGTGATGGGGAGGGGCGCTGGCACCCCTGGGACAGCTGGGGGTGGGGCTGCAGCTGCAGCTACTGGGCGTGGGCCCAGCTGCAGGGCTGGGGCTCTTCGGAGCACGCTCTGGGCCTTGGAGCTGGCTAGGAGGGTGGAGAAGTACAGGTGGAGCCACAGGATAGAAAATGGACTGTGAATCTGCTAAAGGAATGAAACAGCGCGCTGCTGTGAAGTGCACAGAGCCTTTTGAGGTTCCAGAAACAAGAGAAACCACAGTGCAAAACGAGTTTTATTATAAATATCAGGAACGAACAGGACATTGACGAGCCAGCGAATGCCTCTGGTCACACTGAGAGCAGCGGGTCTTCCCTCGCTCTGTGTTCCCGAATATTTCTTCTCCCCAGAGCGCTTGCACCAAAGCATCCGCGGGGCCACAGGCAGTCACACTGAAGCCTGCGCCGCCGTCAAGAGGAGCTGGGAGAAGACATTAGCATTTGGCCAACCTCAACCACACCAGGAAGTTGCCTTCTGCTCGGAACTCCGCCCTGCGGCAGGGAGCCGCCTGCTTCTACTCTGAAGCGCCCCAGAGATCTTCGCTCCCAAGTTCTGAGCCCCAGAGAGCTGGGGGAAAGGCAGTGTGCAGATCCAAGGGGCCTTTCATTCTGGAGCGCGCACAAGGGCCTGCGCCATGTCCCGATAGCAGCCCCCCTGCTCCATGAGCTGCTGGTGGGTCCCCTGCTCACAGACGGTGCCCTCTTTGAGAAACAGGATGTGGTCAGCTTGCTCCACCAAGCTCAGCTGCTGCGTGATGAGAAGCACCGAGCGGGAGCAGCGCTCCGGGCTGTCGTAGAGGAGCCGCTGCACCTGTGGGGGGAGCCACAGCCAGTCAGGGCCGCGCCATCCGCTGGCCAGCCCGGTCAGCGATGCCAAGCACCGCACCGGAGAGGCCTGTTCTCTGGGCCTCTGCGCCACACTGTTGGGCTAAGGAAGATTTTAAGAAAACATGACTCCGTAGAAGAGACACGCATATGCAACTCAGCAGCTGGGGTGGGGGCCTCCGCAACCCGACATTTGAGCCGTCTGCCATCTTCGGTCCTCTGTAGAATGAGGACAACAATACCCACTTCACAAGAAACGGTGACGCTGAAGGGTGGGACTGCTCTCTGATTTTGTAAAAGCGTTCGTGTGTGTTATGTATATGTTTATATGTCATTCTGTCAATAGCTGTTCCTCTTTTTGTTTAAGATCTAAAAATATAGACTTCAAAAGAATGCTTTCTCTGAGTTACCAGCTGATCTAAATAATATCAAAATTAATTTACAATTTTTTAAAAAATCATTAAAATGGGGAAACTGTTGGATAGGACTCTTGATTGGTGGATAGAGGGAGGTCAACTTTGTTCATCATCGGACAGCCCCCAATAACCTTCTTAGAAGACACCACTAATAATTTGGTAAAAGCAAAAAAATTAAAATAAGGTTTTCTCATAAAAGTTGCTACATTAAACATATTCATGCCTTTCTCTCATGCTCCAGATCTTATAATAAGAGGTTCATGACCAGCCAACATGAAGTCATCAGTTAAATGATAATTTTCTCATCATCTGTTATGACTGTTAAGCGACACTACTGCATATGACTATTGATGTCAAATGTTCTTTGTAAAAGTTTAATTACTGTCTATTAACATTCTACAGGAATTTAACTGCTAAAATGTCCATGGCTGATAAAAAAAATAATAGTTCTCTGATCACACTTTATATTTCAAGCTGTTTGATAATCAAATATATTGCTCTCCTGAAAAAACTGTTATTAATTCCTATTTTATATCCCTATCTGCTCATGAGATTCATGCCAAGCTAAAAAAACAAATCTTGGCCCTCAGTCCTCACACGGAAACTTACTTAACCTGACTTTCTGTGTCTTCAATAATAGAAACTATAATTAACCATCCACAAGTGCCAACTTTTGGCTGTGACACTCGGGACTCCCACCAAAAGTAAGACCTTAATAAGAGAATGCTGAGCCTAAGCAATGCTGCTACCTGAGCTCTTCCTGCAAGTGCGGCAAAGAAGGACACTGGGCAAGAGCCTGCCCCAACGTGCAGACTTGCTTCCATCTACAAGCTCGAGGGTCCCTGGAAATGTGACTGCCACGTCCACCAGAGAGCAGTAAGTCATCCACTTCCCTGCTCTCACAGGAAAACTCACTACAGCCAGATCCATCAATACTTGACCTGCTTGGTCTTGCCGCTGAAGAGAAACAACAGAGCATGGGGTCCATGGCGCACATCAAGGGGTCTTTGTAAGAGTCCCAAATCTCACTGGACATCTCAGGTAAAAAAAAACAAAAAAACTTAATTCTTGCTGACAGAGACACCATATATAGTGTTCTTCCTGAGTTCAAAATTGCTGTATTAGATCTAGTCTCCATCGTGGGTGCTGATGACCTACCCACATGATGCCTTCAGACAGGCCCATTCCCTGCTCACTCCAGACACTGTTCTTCACTCACAATTTCCTTATAAATCCAACATACTCCACGCCTCTCAGGGGAACAGATCTCATTCAAAAACTCCATGTCTCTCTCACCTGTCTTCCTACAGTGCTCGTCCTATAAACCTAACCTAAATGCACAGCCAGCTCCTGCCTCCCCCTTCCCTTGTTGACCACATACTCTGAGACGCTTCCAGTCCCACTAGTACCACACATGCTATTCCTACACTGATGCGTTTCAGAGATCCCATGGCCTTTCCCTACATTCCCCAATACCCAATAGCCCCCAAACATCAGAGGGGACTCAAATCCATCATTCAGCATCCCCTTACTCCTTCCCTTCAACATGGTCATGGTAAAATGATACATTCGGATCACAGACTCCCTTCTTGCTTCTACCCAGACCATCAACCTCACCAAGTGTTACCTGAACATGCCCATTCCAAGCCCTGATCTCATGGCCATCCGACCATACCCAACAACACACACACTTGTCCTCTTCCCAAAAAGCCTGTATCTATTGATATCTCCCTTTTACAATTCCCCTCTTCCCACAATCTCACATGTTCAACACACCTCCAGACAAGCCACACAAAATAGACACCCAGCTGTTTTCATGTAACAACTCAATACATAACACTCCATCTCTCCTTGGCTCGCTACCCCTCTAGGATCCCTCGCAGGGCTTGCTGTTATGCTCATGGAAGCCCCCTGCTTCATTTTCCTCATCCACAATACTGTCACAGATTAACAACCCAGAATTTTAAGCAAATACTTCTCTCAGATTACTCCCACCAGGCCTCGCTCCAATGAGACCCCTTCAATGAAGACAACTCCTCGCCCTGATCTCCAGACTACTGGCCCCACGACACCCCCACTCAGTAGGAAGTAGCCAGACGATTTCTTTGCCCTTTTTCTATCAAACAGAATCTGAGATGATAGGTCAGGATTCAAAGCTTCCCAGGCACCTTGCCCCAAACACTCTGCCTCTTGCTTTCCCAGGCAGGCACCAAGCCTCCAAACTCTCTCCCCTTGGCCCCATGCAGAGCCAAACCCAAAAC